GCCGTGCCCAAGCTAGCGTGGGATTACGCAGAAGGGCACGGCGTGGGCCCACCGGATGCGCCGGCTGAGATTTTCTGGTATTTTTAGTAGGAGACGGGGGGGAGGGGTGTGTGTCCATGTTGGCGCGAGGGCTGTCTTGAACTCGCTGAGCCATTAGGGGGTGATTAGTCGCGCCGGTCGGCATCCTCCCATTTGTTTGGGGGGGAGTGCTGTCGGGGAGGTATTATAGGCATAAGGCCACTGTGCCTGGCCCCTCGGCAGTTATTTATTCTTTTTTTTTTTTTTTTTTTGAGATGGAGTCTTGCTCTGTTGCCGTAGGGCGCAGGGGAGGCAGTGGGGCACAATCTTGGCTCGACTGCAACAGCTCTGCGACGTCGGCCGGGTTCAGGCGCAGTTGCTCCTGGCTCAGCCTCCTGAGTAGCTGGGTGAGCTATAGGGCCCCACCACCGTAGCCGCGCTGCTAATTGTTGTGTTTTTGTTGTTTTTGCCTAGTTTGTTTAGGTGAAGATGGTTTCGACGCGGTGGGTGCGCCCGGGAAGTCTCCTGACCTTGAGCGCAGCCGCGAGGCGCTGCGGCCTCTCTCCAAAGCTGCCTGAGAGTGACAGGCATGTGTCTCTCGATCCGTTTGCGGCGGCGGCTGGAGGTGAGGTTGTGGGAGTTGGTTGATGTAGTTGCAGGAGGGATGTGTATAAGAATAGAATTGTTGTGACTATAGGTCTGAGGTCGGAGGTGTATGTTCAGTTGTGGCCAACATGATGATAATTCAGTCTTTACTAAAAATATTGTAATATCCAGGGTGTGTGTGTTTGCGCATATGGCGCATGTAAGTCCCAGGCTACTCAGGAGCTGGAGGGCAGTGAGAACAGCTTCGGAACCCGGGAGTTGGTTGTTTAGGTGGAGTTGCAGTGAGCTGCGATACACCAAAATATATATGTATTTTGTGTTGGTGACAGAGCAAGACTCTGTCTCAAAAAAAAAAGAAAAAAAGAAAGAAAAGAGAAAAAAGTGACAAAGCTTGAAACTATTAAACTGAGAATTTCAATCATTTTTCAAGCATACTATGAATATTAACAATGACTGTCTCAAAAAAAAAAAAGGGCCGGGGCCGGCTATGGTGGCTTACGCCTGTAATCCCAGCACTTTGGGAGGCCAAGGCTGATGATCACCTGAGGTCAAGAGTTTGAAATAAGCCTGGCAAACATGGTGAAACCCCGTCTCTACAAAAAATACAAAAATTAGCTGGGCATGGTGGCGGGCACCTGTAGTCCCAGCTACTTGGGAGACTGAGGCAGGAGAATCGTTTGAACCCAGGAGGTGGGGGCTGCAGTGAGCCGAAATTCTGCCGCTGCACTCCAGTCTGGGTGACCAGCAGAGACTCTGTCTGAAAAAGAAAGGAAAATAAATGAGAGGCAAGGGAAGGGGAGGGGAAGGGAGGGGAGGAGTGTGGAGGGAAGGAGAGGAGGAGGAAGGGAGAGAAGGGGAGGGGGAGGAAGAGGGAGAGGGAGGAAGAGAGGGGTGAGGGGAGGAGGAGGGAAAGGGAGAGGGAGGAAGAGGAGGGGAGGCAGACTATAGACCAGGATTTGGCAAACTGTAGCCTGCTGGCCAAATCTGGCCTGCAGACTGTTTTCTCCAGCTCATGAGCTAAGAACAAATTTAACATTTTTAAACGATTGTTTGAAAAAAAAAGTAGTAGAAGTAGTATATGAGACTGTGGCTCACAAAGCCTAAAATATTTGCTGTTTTGTCCTTTACAGGAAAAGTTTGCCAGTTGCCGCTATAAACCAATCTTACTTATGAATATTGATATCAAATCTTAAAATAATAGCTTTTTTTTTTTCTTTGTTTTGAGATGGGATTTCGCTCTTGTTGCCCAGGCTGGAGTGCAGTGGCATGATAGCGGCTCACTACAACCTCCGCCTCCTGGGTTCAAGCGATTCTCCTGCCTCAGCCTCCCGAGTAGCTGGGATTACAGGCATGCGCTACCACGCCTGGCTAATTTTGTATTTTTAGTAGAGACGGGGTTTCTCCATCTTGGTCAGGCTGGTCTCGAACTCCTGACCTCAGATGATCTGCCCTCCTTGGCCATCCAAGATGCTAGGATTACGGGCGTGAGCCACTGCGCCCAGCCTAATACTAGCATTTTTTATATGAACCCTATATATGTTATTATTTTTAATGTGTCACTGGATCCTAGTTGTAAGCATGGTTCAGTGTGACAAGATTCTCCATTTCAGTAGAGCCAAGAAAGTCTTATGATTATCTTATAAATTGTAATATTCTACATGCATTATTGGTCACAGTTGGAATAGATGGTAACTTTTCTAACCCAATAAAATATATACAGTCATCTCTTAGTATCTGTGGGGGATTGGTTCCAGGATCCCCCCTGGATTCCAAAACCCATGATGCTCAAGTCCCTTATGTAAAATGTAAGGATGATTATATGAAACATATGGATGAGCCGGGCATGGTGGCTCATGCCTGTAATCCCAGCACTTTGGGAGGCCAAGGCGGGCAGATACCTTGGGCACGGGAGTCTGAAAACAGACTGGCCAACATGGTGAAATCCTGTCTCTACTAATAATACAAAAATTAGCTGGGCATGGTGGTGCATGCCTGTAATCCCAGCTACTCAGGAGGCTGAGGCAGGAGAATCGCTTGAACCCAGGAGGTGGAGGTTGCAGTGAGCCAAGATTGCACCATTGTACTCCAGCATGGGCGACAAGAGCAAAACTCCATCTCCTAAAAAAGCAAAAAGAAATGTATGGATGAAATGTATGTCCCTTATATGAAATGTAAGGATGATTTAAAGTATAGGGGAGGATATGTATAGGTTATATGGAAATGTGCAGCAGCATTTTTTCGTTTTTCACTATCATATCTTCCCCTATACTTTAAATCATTCTTAGATTACTTATAATAGCTAATACAATGTAAATGCTATGTAAATAGTTGTCATATTGCATTGTTTATGGAATAATGAAATGAAAAAACAAGTTTGTACATAATCATTTCAAATGCAGCCATCCTTTTTTTTTTTTTTTTTTTTTGAGACAGAGTCTTGCTCTGTCACCCAGGCTGGAGTGCAGTGGTACAACCTGGGTCATTGCAACCTCCACCTCCTGAGTTCAAGTGATTCTCCTCCCTCAGCCTCCTGAGTAGCTGAAATTACAAGCATGTGCTACCACGCTCAGCTAATTTTTGTATTTTTAGTAGAGATGAGATTTGACCATGTTGGTCAGGCTGGTCTGGAACTCCTGACCTCAAGTGATCCGCCCACCTCAGCCTCCCAAAGTGCTGGGATTACAGGTGTGAACCACTTTTTCCTGACTATTGCCATCTACAATTGGTTGAATCCATGGATGCAGAACCCATGGATATGGAAAGTATCTCAAGAGAGAAGACTACATATTTGTTTGAGAACACTAATATCAGGAATAGTACAAAAATTGTGACTCTCACCACTATTTTAGCATTTTTGAAGCTATTAGCCAGTGAAATTAGAAAATAAAATGTGAGCTATGAAAATCGAAAAAAGGAATCGGAATTATGACTTGCCAGTTATACAACTGAAAACTAAAAAGGAACAACTGAAAAAGACTACCACAAACAAAAAGCCAATTTATAAAGTGCCTGGGTACAAATGTAAAAATTACTAGCTTTTTGATATCCATATAAGCAGCTAAAAAAACATAATCAGAGGCCAGGTGTGGTGGCTTATGCCTATAATCCCAGCACTTTGGAAGGCTGAGGTAGGAGGATCGCTTGAGCCCAGGGGTTCAAGACCAGCCTGGCCAGCGTAGTGAAACCCTGTCTCTACAAAAAAATTAAAAATTAGCCAGGCGTGGTGGCACACACCTGAAGTTCCAGCTACTCTGAGTGGCGGAGGCTGAGGTGGGAGGATTGCTTGAGCCCAGCAGGTGGAGATTGCAGTAAACCATGATCACACCACTGTACTTCAGCCTGGGTGACAGAACAAGGCCTTGTCTCAAAAAAAAACCCACAAAAATTAGCAAGGTGTGGTGGCATGCACCTGTGCTTCCAGCTACTCAGGAGGCTGAGGCAAGAGGATCACTAAAGGCCAGGAGTTAGAGGTTACAGTGAGCCATGATTGCACCATTGCACTCCAGCCTAGGCAACAGAGCAAGACCCTGTCTTAAAAAAAAAAAACTCCCCCAAACCTGAAAGAGTTAACAAAATAAAAATTTGTAGGAAAATAAAAATGTAATCCAATGAAAAAAAATATATGTATATGATCAGGTAGACTATTTTTGGGAGATAATACAAGAAACTGCTCTAAGAAGATGTACCTGCTAAGGCAGCTGAGGCCAGGTTGGAAGGGAGACTGACTTTTCCTGTATAATGTTTTTACATGCGTGCATACACAAACAGACACACAGCCCTATGGATTCATTCCCTTTTCAAAATATTGAAATTACTTGAAAAATGATACTACTATAATTGAAGACACCAGAGGGTGCTATATGAACACATTTGAATAGACTCTCATTTACCAATTACCATTTGGTACAATAGAAGTGATTTCAGGCCAGGCGCGGTGGCTCACGACTATAATTCCAGCATTTTGGGAGGCCAAGGCAGGCCAGCTGATCATGAGGTCAGGAGATCGAGACCATCCTGGCTAACATGGTGAAACCCCATCTCTACTAAAATACAAAATTTACCTGGGCATGGCTGGGTGCAGCGGCTCACGCCTGTAATCCCAGCACTTTGGGAGGCCGAGGCAGGTGGATCACGAGGTCAGGAGATCAAGACCATCCTGGCTAATGCAGTGAAACCCCGTCTCTATTAAAAAAAAAAAAAATTAGCTGGGCGTGGTGGCAGGCGCCTGTAGTCCCAGCTACTTGGGAGGCTGAGGCAGGAGAATGGCCTGAACCCAGGAGGCGTATCTTGCAGTGAGCCCAGATCACACCACTGCACTTCAGCCTGGGCAACAGAGGGAGACTCTGTCTCAAAAAAAAAAAAAAAAAAAAAAAATTACCTGGGCAGGGTGGCGCATGCCTCTAATCCCAGCTACTTGAGAAGCTAAGGCAGGAGAACTGTTGAACCAGGGAATCAGAGGTTGCAGTGAGCTGAGATCGCCCCACTGCACTCCAGCCTGGTGACAGAGGGACGCTCTGTCTCAAAAAAAAAAAAAAAAAGTGATTTTAAGTACCAAATTCAGAAGTTTAGTTACAATAAACTTGTGTTTGCTTTCTCTTCTTAGCCTACATGTATGGAGCTGCCAGAGGAACTGCTTCAACTCAAGGACTTCCAGAAGCAGCGCAGGGAGAAAGCTGCAAGAGAATACAGGGTGAATGCACAGGGACTCCTAATAAGGACAGTGCTACAGCCAAAGAAATTAGTGATAGAGAGAGCAGGGAAAGAGGAGAAAGTCAAAGGCTTCTTATTTGGTAAAAATTTTAGGATAGATAAAGCTCCAAGTTTTCCATCTCAAGACTTTCATGGGGATGTGAATTTACTGAAAGAAGAATCTTTGAATAAACAAGCTACAAAGCCTCAGCATCTGCCTCCCATAGAGGAAGGGGAAACCAGTGAGGATTCCAGTAACAAACTCATTTGCTGTGAGTCAAAGGGGTCAGAGGACCAGAGAATAACTCAGAAAGAACACTTTATGACACCCAAACATGAGTTGCAGGCAAGTTTATCTTTGAAAGAGGAGATAGAACAGTTATTGATGGTGGAAAACAAGGAAGATTTAAAATGCACAAAACAGGCTGTTTCAATGTCTTCCTTTTCTCAGGAAACCAGAATGTCTCCAAGTGACACCTTTTATCCTATAAAAAATGCTGTGCTTTCCACACTCCCTCCTTGTCCAGCCTTGGAGAAGATCGATTCCTGGATAAATCCTTTTCTAACTCTGCCTTAGAGATGTGCAGTTTGTTCTTAAGGCCATGCAGGTGGCATATTTCCTTTGCCATCAGGGCCTTCCACAGTGCCCACGTTCCTCATGTTGTAAATGTAGTAATGCTTCAGTCACAGGGGAAAATTATATCCTCTTGCTTACTCCTGTGTTCCGGGTATGCAGAGAATGAGAATGAATAAGTTAAATGATGGAAGAAGTATAATTTCTGATTATGTCACTGTGTAGAAATGTTCTCAGTGACCAGAGTGCATTATTTCTCATAATTTGGGTTTAGAGGATTTGAAGTAAGGAAAAATCTTGGGCTTAGTGTCAGGAAGACGCCATCATTTTCAAATTTTGTTTTGCTTCTTGACTTGCAGATTCCTTTGAAGGGAGCTGGTAAAACTATTAATGATCCATTTTAAAAATTGGTACCTGATAATTTTACCAGTACTTTTTTTCTTTTTTATTTATTTATTGGTTTTATTTATTTATTTTTTTTTACCACTCCTTGTGGAGCAGGGCTACACCATAGGCAGTGTGCCTGGAGTAGCCACTTTTTTCCTTTCTAAAATATGTTATTAACTTTATGTTTGAATGTTATATGTTTTGTCTGTCTCTTAGGCAAATAGTTAATATTATAGGAGTCAATAATTTAATTTTTGTTTTATTTATTTATTTTTTGATGGAGTCTCACTCTGTCGCCCAGGCTGGAGTGCAGTGGTATGATCTCTGCTCACTGCAACCTCCGCCTCCCGGGTTCAAGCGATTCTCCTGCCTCAGCCCCCCGAGTAGCTGGGATTACAGGTGCCCACCACCACGCCCGGCTAATTTTTGTATTTTTAGTAGAGACAGGGTTTCACCATGTTGGCCAGGCTGGTCTCGAACTCCTGACTGACCTCGTGGTCCACCCGTCTTGGCCTTCCAAATTGCTGGGATTACAGGTATGAGTCACCGTGCCCAGCCAATATCTTTATTTTAATTTGTTTTTATTTCCTTTACTTTTAGCTGGTTTTGTCCATTTTCCTAACAAAGCAGGAACCCTGGGTTTCTTTTTAGTCTGTCTGTTGTATAAACTTGAAATCTGACTCCATTCTATTTGCCTGGAGTTAGTATACTTTCTTAGGTTGAAAGGAAGGCAGCTTGTATTGAGCCTTTTAAAGTATTGAATGCTTGCAAATTGCTCACGTTCTTTTGTGTAAAATAACCAATAAACCTGTTTTGGCATATTCTACTTAAAAAGAACAATCTCTCACTTTTCTTAATTGGGTCAGGGTGGAAAGAAATGTCTGGATTTCTAGGTCCAGAGTCCAGTTTATAAATCTGTGATTCGACTCTTACTCTTTTTGCACTTAGGAACAATGTAAGATCAGGAGCATCCTTGTCTGCACTGGTTGATTCTGAGTGCCACTGAGAGAATTGCTATGCCTTTCCAAACTCCGGAACCCAGATCTAATCTGAGTTTAAGATTAAGGCAGGCCTAAGGGCAGTCGGTTCAGCCCTGCAGTTGCCTTGTCTCACCTTATACTTAGTTTAGAAAGTCACTTGGGGCCAGAGTAGTTACTGGTTTATCTCTGGTGAATGCATCTCCAGGTTGAGCTCAGAATGTGGTCAATCGAGGTTAACTCTGCAAAAGGCATGGATTCCTGTAAAATTTTTGAACTTCATTTAGCTTGTGCTGGGTTGACAGGTGTGGAGTCACCATGGCCCACCTGAGGGGTACTACATTTGTTACGTTTTTTTTCCACTCCATTTTTTTTTTTTTTTTGACATCTGTAACTTTAATAGCCATGGTATGTATATAGTTCATGGAGTAGCAACTGAATGATCCTTGTGGGCTCACCTGAGGTCAGGAGTCAAGGACCAGCACTGAGTGGATTCTGTTAAGAAGCTAAAAAAAAAAACAAACAAAAAAAAAAAAAAAAAAAAGAACAGC